AAGCTTTCACCTTTAATGTATGGCAGCAATATCTAACGTTTCATTTTCTGTATAGCTTGACACATTTCTGCTGCATATTAGGAGTTTACTAGTACACCAATTCTTACCATATCACAAAAATAGAATGTTTTGTCATGTTCTTGTTAGCGAGTAATTTATTAATTTATCATTCTTATCCAATTTGCTACTGTTATTTAATATTGTTTGGCAGTTTTTTTTATGACACTGATTTTTTTTTAATATTCATGTTTCTGCCTTTTTACATTTGAAATAAACAGTTTATTTTGTTAGTTGTGGATTTATATTTTTTGAGCTTTATTTATTAACGACATGAGACTAGCTGACATTGATGTTAATTGCTGCATGATGCTGGTCATTATGCGCCATTCTTGAGCTTTAAATTTTTAGCTTTGTTTAAATTTTCATTTCAGTTTAATTTTATTTTGTCGGGACATAGCGTAACATACTACTTACAAGGCTACACAGGAATTTTTAGCCTTAAAAATGTATTCTCTGTCACTTGCTATGAGCTGAATTATATAAGATATGCACATTACAATTTTGTTATGCTGTATGATTGTTTAAACAACCTGTCCATATGAAAATGTGAATCATACAAATGCAATAAAGCAGTGATGAATTAAACCATTCACATTCTTTTGACTCGATGGGAAAATTACATTTGTCTTCCCATCTCATAACACTCGACTAGCAAGTCATTTCAGGAGAAAACTGAAGGTAAATTTGCTTGGATGTTGTCAATGAAACGTACAGTTCATTGTTGAAGTTTCAAGTTTCATTTATTAGGTATAGCCCTGTGAGCCATGCGGCTCTTAAGTCGGGTGCAACCGCAACAAACAAAATTTGAACACAACATCTTAAAGCGACAACGCGTAACAGAAACATCCTGGATTAAACCAGCAAATATTCCACACAAAAAAACGTATTAAAACGCTGTGTGCAAAAATCAATGTGGTGCAAGCCAACAACAACAATCATAAGACAATTTAGATTAACCATATGTTTTCGAATCACCAAAATAAAGCTATAAAAACAATGTAACAACAGTAATCATAGGAACTGTGATTTTAAATTTAACAATAAACGATATACATAACACGTACGACAAATACTGCAGCGATAGCTGGCAGCACGATACTCCCAGTGTATGACGTGTGAGTGAGTCAGCAGCAGCGTGAGTGTATGATGTGCGAGTCAGTGTATGATGAGTGAGTCAGTGTATGATGTGTGAGCGAGTCAGCGGCAGTGTGAGTGAGTGTATGATGTGCGAGTGAGCCAGCACACGATGAGTGAACCTGTGTATGATGAGTGAATGGGTCAGTGGTTGTGCGAGTATATGATGTGTGAGTGAGTAAGCGCATGATGAGTGAGCCAGTGCATGATGTTGGAGTGAATCAGTGTATGATGTGTGAGAAAGTCAGTGTCGGCTCCCTCTGCTCGCGCCGTCGCCCCCCCCCCCCCCGGCTCCCCCCCCCCTCGGCTCCGTCGCCCCCCCCAGCTCCATCGGCCCCCCGCTGGCTCTGTCGCCCCCCCCCCCAGCTCCGTCGGCTCCCCCCGGCTCCGTCGCCCCCCCCCCAGCTCCATAGGCCCCCCCCTGGCTCCGTCGGCCCCCCCTGGCTCCGTCGCCCCCCCCCTCCGGCTCCGTCGGCCCCCCCATGGCTCCGTCGGCCCCCCCCCCGGCCCCCCCGGTTCCGTCAGCCCCCTCGGCTCCATCGGCTCCCTCCGTCGGCTTCCTCGGCCCCCTCACAAATGGCCCCGCCAGCCGCTGCTGGGAGCGCGGCCCGGGAGCACCCCGGGATACGCGCACGCCTCAGTTATTTCCATTGGCACTTCAAGGCATTCATTTATTCACTTTTGTGTGACGTTATGCAGGAATTCCCAGATGTGCATTAAATACAATTTGTGTCTTTACATGAAAAGGGATTTGACTGCACAGGTACTTACAAGTTTGGTCATAATTCCTTAAAAAGACTGCTGGGAATCTTGAAGATTCTAAATTTGAAGCATTCGCGACTGCAAGGATTCATACTCTTTGTTTTTTTCGGTAAAGTCACGTAGGTAAAATTAAATAAATGAAAACAACTAAATTAAATCACGACGTTTCGGAAGCAACACAAGCTTCCGTCTTCAGGTGGAACAGTCACAGCAAAATAGCTGTATCAAGTGAAGAGAGCTCTAAGATACCCGAGATTATATACACAGGTTAAGGGGGGGGAGGAGCCAGGAAGGTACGTGGTGGGGAGGGGCTAAGTTAAGCCGCCTTTGTTATGCTGCAGGGGGTTCGGGGGAAGCGATGGCGCGCTGCACGAGAGCGAGTACAGCCCACTGGAAGAAATGGAAATGGCTGTACAATTATAAGGCCGCTAAAGTTTGACTTGGTTGATGACATCTTTCCAATGGTTGCTCAATTTAAAACCATCCTCGGTTGAAGTTGTGTCTATGTTTGTATATCTGGATGACTTCATGGACAAATCTTTGGTAATAACCGGGAGGTTTGCAGAGAACTTTGGTATCAGAGAAAACAATGTCATGAGAACCCGCTGTGTTGAAACAATGATCAGCTACGGCCGACCAATTAGTTCTGCCGTGTTTAAAATCTGATTTGTGCTCGCGAATTCGGTCAGAAATGTCGTTTCGTCTCCCCGATATAGCAGTCACCGCAGATACAACTCAATTTGTAAACACCGGGGTACTGTAAGTCAGGAATGACATCCTTTACGGATGGGATCAGATCACGGATTTTTGTGTACTGTATTGAACCGGACCTGGATCTTGTGTTTGTTTAGAATTTTGGAAATATTTTGGTAACGCCTGCTATATATGGCAACGTGATAATTTTGATCAGAGTATCAGGTGGTTGTTTCTGTATGGTGGGAGAAACAGCTTGGCGGATAGTACGGTCAGAGTATCCGTTCATCTTGAGGGCCAGATGTACATGTTTTAATTCACTGGCCAGGTGGTGTTGGTCAGAAATGCAATGAGCCCTATGGTATAATGTTTTGATGAGATAATTATTTTGAGCCGGGTGGTGGTGGGAATCAGGCTTCAAGTAGGAATCTGTGTGGGTGGACTTCCTGTAAACAATGTCTCAAAGAGCCATCAGTCCTCCTCTCAAACAGAACATCCAAGAATGGCAGCTTGCCATCTTTTTCCACTTCCATGGTGAATTTGATAGATGGGTGTCTGGAATTGATGTAATCTCGGGTGTCTCAGAGCTCTTCACTTGATACAGCTATTTTGCTGTGACTGTTCCACCTGAAGACGGAAGCTTGTGTTGCCTCCGAAACGTCGTGATTTAATTTAGTTTTCATTTATTTAATTTTACCTATGTGACTTTACCGAAAAAAACAAAGAGTATAATCTTGAAGATTTTACATAATTTCCATCCACGCGTCTTAGTTTCAATAACCTTGTTGGAATGGAGGCTCAATCAAGACAGTTTTGGAAATATCGTACATGGATGTTTTTTTTTTACAATCTTTAGAAGTGCTGTGAGACCTTTAACATGTATGAGCATATGTGATGGCTAGCTCAGTGTCGTATCCCGAGGAGGGTGCGGGGTGTTTAACACGGAGAGCTCATGCTGAATTTAGAGCCGAGCACTCTGCATCTGCTTCCGGGCATCTCTTCTTCCTCCTTTGCAACGTCGGGATTCAGGTACAGCCAGTTCACATTTATTTAATACTGGTAGGAACCTCCTGGTTACACCAGCCCACAGGGGGTCATTTTCCGTCCGTCCGTTGTGCATCCAAAAATGGGAGGGGTGGGGCTGGGTGGAGAGGGGAGGGTGGGGAGGGGAGGGGCTGGGTGGGGAGGGGAGGGGCTGGGTGGGGAGGGTGGGGCTGGGTGGGGGGGTGGGGCTGGGTGGGGAGGGGCTGGTCACCCCGTTGTGCCCTTATAAAACTCAACGTTTAACCTACTCACACCGGCTTGTGCCCACCCTCACAGTCGGGCATATTTGCAGAATACACCACGTGGTGCCGCCGTTGTCCCTGGCTATTGACCGAGCAACCCAACGTTCCTACCAGCTCCCTCCGCAGCAATGTGTTTCAAAACACCTCCATTAAAATATACATGTGCAGCTTATTTATCTTGCACATGGAATCCACTGGGGTTTTGTAGAATTCTAAATTGAATATTTTCCCCATGCCTAATTAAATGGATTGATAAATCACTAACAAAGGGGCGTGAATTATAAACAGTCTCTTGGTTTACTAATTTGTTATGCCTCTTGCATGAATAGGTAATGATTATTTGAGTACCTGCCTTCTTGTAGTCCTCTTGTAAACCATCCTTTGAAATGCTATACACACTGAAATTGTACCAGATATTGCACAATTCCTCGTAATGGGCGGCACAAAGGTACACTTCTTCCAATTTGAAGACTGGAAGTTTAAATCCAAGCTGGAGATCGACCTGGCATCATTAAGATGTAATCCCATATTGCGGGGAAGGCAAGAGTGGTCGAATTCAACATCCACCACTGGCTCAAGGCTGTAAAGAAGGGGAGTACAGTAATACCCTGATTTACATCTACCCCTTTTACATAATTTCACAAATACGTCGCCACTTTATTAATACTGCTACCTGATTTGCGTCGCGTAAATCCACACATCGCCGACAGCATTGTCCGTCCTTTCTCTTATCCGTCGTCTCTCAGCCTTCGCCTCCACCTCCCCTGTAAATTGCTTTGACGTAGTTTGGACGATCATCGTCGCACCTTTCAGGAACGCATCCCCGACAAAAACCGCGATATTACTGTACCACCTATTCTCAATTGAGTGGGGGAACCAATCGGACTTTTTAACCTTCACTGAGATGTTTTACCCAAGCGTGCTTCCCATAAAAAAAAACATTGAATTATGCAACCCACACACCAATTTAAGTTAAACAAATACCAGTCAAGCACTTCACTGCAAGATTGTACTTTAGCAGCATGTCTGAAATAATCAGCTTCCCAGATAGTTTTTGCATCAACATTCCGTTCACATGGTTAGCTTTTATTAATAAGTTGTCATGCAAGTACATGTGTCCATTCGCACTTGGTGCATGCGATTACGTTTGTACAGCAAAGTGCATTAAGGCCGCAGCGAGTGGTGTTCAGAGAACACAAGTTAACACGAGGCAGCTGCACTGCACTGAAAATTGTGCTCAAATGAAAAAGTCAGTGCAAGCCATTACAATAATCGCCAATTTTCACATTGTCCAACCAGTGATTTAAAAGTGCCAAGAACCCAGAGAAAACTAAAACACAAAATAACTGCTTATTTTAAGTGTTACAGCAATGCTCAGGATTACGAGAACTGGTGCTTTGGCTGCTGGAAGCGGTCTTTATTGTACTTGTGTGATATGCTTCAAGGGGCCTTAATAAAATGCCACTTTCTTGTCACGCTTGGTGAAAGGAGACTGCGGACCCAGGCGGCGTGTTGGTATTACGAGCCCAGTATTTTTTGTTTGTTTTTGATTACCGCTAGCTTTGCCCTAAGGGGTGCGCGCACTTGTCTTTTTTGCCCAAGGGGCCATCGCTAAAACTCAAGAGCACACGAGCATCTTGTTCATGCGTCACAGCGATACCTCGAGACTGGAGAGCCAAGGTGTTTCCTTGTCCACGAGACTCAACGACCGAAACGAAGTCCGCGTTTTATCCCCAAATTGAATTAAATATGCGATTAGAATATGTATCACAGGAGCGTGTAAACTTATTAAATGATACCAGTCCGCCACTATTAATGCACTTCATTTGTGAGCCATTCCATTGCACAAGTACCCATTTTATTATTTCAGCATTATGTATGTGCAGCTGTAGTGGCTGGGACTGTCACTGTATACGCGATGAATATTTAATGTCATTATTCTATGCGTGCAAACTCTACGATGCCAAACATCATATTTGCATGAGCGTGTGTTGTTTTCGCGGATGTGCCTTTATAGTTGGCAGATAATGTGGCAATGACACAAAGGGGATCGGCATAACAGACCAGGGCTTGGCACACGATACTCACCACGGAGAGGACAGTGCTCATTTTCCCAGGAGTGTCTGATACTTCTGCATGAGCAGCCAGCATGAGCAGCCAGTAAGCACCACTTGAACCAAAGGACAGAATACACCCAACAGTATACAGCCACGGAGATGGAGATAAAAGATCACGTGCGGGAGTGAGATGCGTTTAGTTGAATTTCACGGTACGGAGAGGCCTTCATTCAGCAGTGAATAGATCATGGCTGATAATGACCACGTAAACCATGACACTAATTATTCATGAGCAAGTCTCCTTTAGCAAATGAGACAACGCAGCGAGAAGCATGCAGCATTCGATATTAAAGTATAACTATCGAGTATCAGAGGCATTCGCATTATGGTACGATGGGAATGTCCCCAATACTGAATAAGTGCCAAAGTTGAAAAAGTTAACGTTTGTTTCTAGAAGTCAGCTTCAATTTAAAACATAAGTCATTCAGGGAAGCTAGCAAATGCCTTTCCCACTCTGTGCTCTTATAGTATGTTTTTCAATGCCAGCATATGTACTGATACCAGTGACATTTAAATGAACCCTTTGTCAGCTTTGCATCAATTACATCTCCATAAGGTTGATAAAAAAGACGGCATATATGCTACATGCCTATATCCAAATCGCCCGTAATGATCTAGTTAAATATCGGAAGCTCAGCAGATTGAACCTGGAGAGCGCTTGGTTGAGCAAGCACCGTGTATGACAGTGTAGCAGGCAATACCTAACCTGTGTAGCTGTGTTGTGGACAGCAGAGGGCAATGCAGCAAACTCCATCACACTGCATTTCTATGCGCCCATGTATACTAACCTACATTGACGGAACATGGTGAATTATGCTCTATTAACCCCCATGACATGTAACGCCGTGAGGAGGCCATCACTCAGCACTTACAAAGGGCTGAATGACAAAGGGCTGTACATGTACATGTGTGTCCCCAATGAATCCTTGAGGGTTTCATGGCCTTTGATGGTGAATGCAACTTAGACCCCTATTGAATGTAATGTGAATGCATTAATCTCTGAAAGCACCGAGAGAAAAAGGCGAAGAATACAAACAGCCAACTGGTTCAGCAGTGAGGGCCATCCAATAAGTACCCACAGCAAAAAGATAACCTTCATGGTACTTTACTTAGGAGATGTGTCTGTGATGCCTTCAGGGTTAGACTTAATCTTAAATAGTTTTTTTCTTAACACTGGTGAGGGAAGTCTTTCTGAAGCGTAGTTCTTAGAAATAGAATGAATATGGACAATGCAAGACTCGTGTCATAATTAATAATTAGCGTGCAGTGGCAACGCTGGCATAACCAACAATATATATTTTATTTACAGAACACTTGCAGATGAGTAACGTTGACGGAATAACAACTGACGAGCAATAGCCGTTGACTTTAATGCTCAACTGGGACACAGCTGCTCCCCAAGCTTTGTGAAGAACACTGCCGGATAAAGGTGAAGGAAAATGAAAGATTAATGGCACACTTGTTTTCTTCGATTGTACATTAAATGTCCAATCTTGTACACTTATCTCGTTAAAGTGACTTAAATTTGGCTCCTTAAGCCAGAGGCATTTCTGTTAAATTCGGAGTAAGCTTAAATACAAAAAAAAACCACGATTGCAATAAAACTCACAAAAGGCACATTTCTGCTCTAGGCTCTGAGATGTGTTGCAAAAAAAAAGTACAATTCTTGTATCACCATTCCCTAAGTTCCACGTCATTTTATACGTATTAATGCTATCACACACACAACCGTTTTACATTTCTAAACTACATTGTGCTCAAGTTAGTTTTCTTCAACCCTAAATAATTAAAGACTACTGATTGTATGATATTACTTTCTTCAGGGTCCAGTGCACAACGCTTAATTGTGGCAGCTCCGAGTTCAACAATTGCTGTGAAAATTCCTCGTGCTTATTATTTAGCTTGCCAATAATTAGAACACCAGCACACCGAGATAACTGCAGTGAGATCATGTTGAACATGTGTGTTAAGACTGTACTGGCTTTGCTTTCACTCACCATTCCATATACAAGTGTTGCATTGAAGCTATTTAGTTATTTCGCTTCACTGTCTCGCTGTCATTTCTGGAAATATGTTAATGTTTCATTTCTGTATTAAGTGGATGATGGCAAGCCAAGGCAGAAATAAATGGATGATCCCCTTCGCTCGCATGCGCAGGTGTAAACACATCATTCTTGCGTTGAGAAAAGTGGGTTTGGGCAGGACACATCGCTAGAATAATTACAGAGTGGCAGCCAAAGCCTGAGAGGACATACACCGAGGTTACAGAGCGATGAAATTAGCTCGCATCTAGGTGCTCCGTGGATTATTGCATCGCCAAGGATCGTGAGGGATGCCGGCCGCTTGGGGAGGCCTTCATCCAGCAGTGGATTGATCATGATGATTACGCTTACAAACTTACGCCATATATTAACCTTTTACATTTAAAAACTCATCAGAGGAAATCGATAGCAAAAAAAAAACCTCATTATTTTTTTGCAATCCCATTTCCCTGTTGTTGTCGATGACAGGTGACAGGCTGCTTTGGGAGGAGCTTGTGGGATCTTAAGCACCGGGAGACCTTTGGTGTGTCCCCCCCCCCCCGCCCAAGGCTGCCGTAGGGAGCACGAGGGGGTGTGGGGAGGGGGTGTGATGGGGGAAGGGATGGCGTGGGGAGGTGGACACGTGGATCGTCTGCTAAACATGGCCCTCCGGTTCTCTTGAATCGCTGCTCCCGTCACCATCCTCCTCCCCCCTGCAGCTGAACACACGGAAGAAACCAAACATCGCTGTTTGCACCTCACGTGTTCATCAATAACAAGTCACTCGTTCGTCCCTCAAGCACGCACGACTTTCATCATTTACTTATATTGTCAATAATAATTAATAATAGCTGTGCACATTGACAAAAAATATATATCAAGGGTACCCTTATGAGTGAAATAGTTTTCTCATCGTTTAATGAGCCTGCCTACAGCAATGCATGGTGGGAATGTTCCCCACATAACAATGAACGGTATTCATTCGCAACATTCGCTGTCAAAACGAATTGCCTCTGGCTGAATAACGTAACACAATAACATGACAATATAGCGTCCAAAACAAGATCATATAATAGCACGCCATTGTCATTTATTCATATTTGTTGCCTTCCACCCCCTCCTGCCAGCGAATGAACTATTTGTGCATAACACTGGTATATTTTCCCCGGTATGATCTGTGTACACTCCCAAACACACCGTTTGGTCGCGCAAAAAACGACTTCACCTTTAGCGCCGATGCCTGCGGAGCAGTTCGCGAGCGCTAATTCAAGCAGCCGAGTGATTTATGGCTTGGACCCGACACGAAGAAGCCCCTTGCGGGGTTCTTGCAGAGAGTTTTTTTAACGCCTTTCTCTTTAGATTTTTTTCGCGTTCACCTCGGTGGAATGACTTTCGACACACAACGGTGAATGGAGCAGATAGAGCGGTCCATCTCTTTAATTATGCGCAGAACCACTTCCGTCGTTTAATTTGTCCAAACCACACGGCGAATCAATTGCGTTACCATTGTAATATTTACTATGGCGCGCGGTGAAATCAGGCTCTTGCCGTAAAGCAATGTTGTAATCATTGCAAAAACAGTCAATATCGGAATATATGTACGCGCAGTGTAAAGTGTATAAATATTTTAATAAACTACTGCTGCTCCCAGGTCTACATGGGTCAGTGAAATATAGTTTGTGAAAATCGCTCACGAGGGGAAAAAATCAACATTACGGTTTGTGTGCCTTTGTCATGACATCTTGGCAAGGCATGTAAACCGGAATACGCATGGGCTGACACACTGTCACAAAGTTTATTATTCTGCTCTTGTAATAAAAAATGTTTTGGTAATTCTATGCGTGCAGGGGTATGCGAACACCGTAGACTTGCAGCGGTATGCTATAACATAGACAGTATGCGGTAAATTTTTACACGAGCAGCGTACATTTTTTTTTTTTTTATTCCACGATTTTATCCAGATCGTGCTTTCGGTTTCATGTCAAGAGACAGGTATCCATTCAGACGTCTCAGAGCCGTGCAGAATCCTTCGTGTTGGAAAATGGCCCATGGAAGGCGATGTCACAGAGCTACCTCTGAGATCCTGTCATGTGACCTCTGCTGCACACACAAAAGGGCAGCACTATCCCATCCATGTCCAATTAGGGATTTTTTTTTATTCCCAAATTTGAAATTTAGCCAAATTAAGTGCAGAACCATTGTTGTGGAATGATTTGAGATCATTTATGTTTGAATTAACGTTTTTACTTCCATTGGCTAAAATGGCCATGTTTAATGCATTACATAATCATGTTTAATACATTACAATGTATATTAAAAGTTCAGCAAAGAGTAATCGAACAATGAATTCAACCCAAAAAACACATCGTTATTAACTTCTACATACACATCGAGGCTAGGGTGTCCTGGGTTGCCTGCCGCAAACATCAAGCTCCATTAATTAAATATAAAAACGATTTAATTAAAAGTTTCGGTCAGGTACACTCCAAAATGTGATGTCACTCTTGTGATGATTGATTAGCAAACAAGTTCGGGACACGACATTGATGTCACCAGAGCATTCCTGGTCATACTGGTTTGAGTCATGTCGAATCAATGCCATTTTAAACTCGCCAAACCATGTCGACGATTATTTGAATGGCTTCAATAATTCCACATTGAGACGTACACACCCCAAGGGCGCTGTACAAATCTACGACAAGAGATGTGGTAAACGCGCGCGTCTCTTGTCATCTTTTGGAAGACCCTCGCACCAATACTAGTGTGTCGGTGGGTCGGCTGTTCCGTGCCGTTGGACTGGTGCCACTGAGTGCACGTTCCCCGAACTCGGCGTTTGGCGAACGTTTCGGCCCCTCCGTCCGTTTGCCGAGCGCCTCTGATGACGCTGATCGCGGCATGGGGTAGTTACAAAATGAGACGGGGAAAAAAAATGTGGGTTGAATTTTCCTGTTGTGCAAAAAACTGTGGCTTATATGTACAAAATGTATAGAGGGACTGCGCATTGGCAGTGGTGTGCAAGCAGGATTTAAAAAAAACCCACATTCACCATCACGACCACTGCATTTTAACAGGAAATATAAATAATATGCTGACATTTTCAGGTAATGACCGTTCTTCAGAGAACAGAGGCAGGACAGAGATTGACCGACTTTACACCGTTGAGCTCTGATAAAGAAAAATGGGAAACGTTAAGAAAAGTGACGAATGAACGGTTTCAAATGCAGTTCTCCGTGCTTCTTTGTGTTCCGTTCGGCTTTTGTTAAATTTTCATTGTCAAGTGTCCACGTTTCTGAACCACACATCATAAAATGGGAAAAAAAAATAATGCAAGGATTGAAAATGTCCTCTCCGGGCACAAATGCTTGCCGTCAATCCGCCACCATTCCGCCACTGCGTAGGCTTCCCCGGTCGCACCGTATCGCTCCGCGCGCGTGACCCGAACACAGCGCGGTTTTTTGTTTGCGTGTGCGCGTACGGGGTGGTGGTGGTGGTGGTGGCTGTGCCGGCGTCGTGCGACGCCGCACGGTATATTTACCGCCGCGCGTCCTCCAGGACGCGGACGCGAGCCTGCGCCGCCTCCAGCGCCGCCCGCAGCTCCTCGCCCTCCAGGCGCCACGACACCAGCTCCCGCTCGCGCTCCAGCAGCGATCGCTGGAGCCGCGCGTTGGCCTCCTCCAGGCTCTCGCAGAACGCCTGCACGCACGCGGGCACCCACGCACGTGGGCACGCACGTGGGCACGCACGCGGTGCACAGACCGGGGAGGGGGCGGGCGTAGTGGAGGTGCCGTGAGATGACATCCTGCTAAATCCGATGAGATGCATTTCCTGATCGCTCCCGTGTATCTCTGCGCCCGCGCGCGCGGTGCCATCGACCGCCGTTCACTTTCATCGAGGTCAATCTTAGTGACCCCCCCATTTCACATGCACATTGATTTCACTCGAGTATTATATTGTGAGCCGTTATAATACGGACTAACGCTAACAGGAAGCTTGTAGATTTGGGTAATTGTGAGGGGGTGAATGTCTTGCCTTTTGACGGATCACCCCACCCTGCCCCGCCCCACTTTTTGACTCCAACAAAAGATCCACGAGGTTTTTTTTTTGGGTTAGATCGCGTAAATATATAAATGTGTCGTTAATACCCGCAAACCACCCGACACAGCCAATTAGTAAGGGTTGTCACGTAAACAGAACATGCCAATTCTTCACTAGTACAGCACACCGGTGTGTTGGAGAGCCAACCCACAACATTTACAATCTGAGTACGACGTTTCACCAGTAATTACAAATAGCTTCATCAGGCAACAACCAGATTTGTGGAGAAGTCCACCTGTTTCGTTGCTTATATAGAGGCGTAGATGTGTTGACCACGCTTCTGCGCTTTGCGCAAAGTGGGGGGAGGGGGGGGGGAAATTAATGAGCCAACGTACATTATGCATGCACATTATGCGAGCCCTTTGATCCTGTCCTTTTGACGCTACATTTATATATTTACGCGATCTAACCCAAAAAAAAACTCTATTATGGATATTGGTCACGAAAGCCTACGTGTTAAACCAATCCAAATTTTTTTTTAATTAAATATCTGGCCCTATTTAATAAAGCTTGAAATTTCAGGATTGCTCCATCCGCACCATCCTTGGAAGTTTAAAGATCCACCTCTTTATGGATTTGTCTAGTTTCCACCACTGCCTCATTTACCCGGATAACTATTTTCACTTTTATATTATCCAATAGGTTGTCAATTTGATAGACCTCCACGTAAGTGTATAATAACTGCCGGATTTAGGCACAAGCTAAGTAAGCTACAGCTTAGGGCATCACCTTATGAGGGGCCTCTAAATAAGAAAAAAAACCCTAACGGAGTTTCACGTTTTACATAATCGATTGAAAAATAAAGGAGAGAAAAATAAGCATATAAAATGGTTCATTTACATTCTGACATGGCATTCCTATATTTACGAACCGTTAATTTGACATAGCTTAGGGCCCCAGCATATCATACTCCGGCCCTGTGTATAATAAATGTACAACTGTAATTATTTACAGCCCTTTGTCAATCCGCTGCTGGACGAGGGCCTCTCCAGCCATGTCAGTCAAGGGTGGTTTGTTTGACCCTGCCTCAACATGCTGGACGAGGGCCTCTCCAGCCATGTCAGTCATGGCTGGTTTGTTTGACCCTGCCTCAACATGCTGGACGAGGGCCTCTCCAGCCATGTCAGTCATGGGTGGTTTGTTTGACCCTGCCTCAACATGCTGGACGAGGGCCTCTCCAGCCATGTCAGTCATGAGTGGTTTGTTTGACCCTGCCTCAACATGCTGGATGAGGGCCTCTCCAGCCATGTCAGTCATGGGTGGTTTGTTTGACCCTGCCTCAACATGCTGGACGAGGGCCTCTCCAGCCATGTCAGTCATGGGTGGTTTGTTTGACCCTGCCTGAACATGCTGGACGAGGGCCTCTCCAGCCATGTCAGTCATGGGTGGTTTGTTTGACCCTGCCTCAACATGCTGGACGAGGGCCTCTCCAGCCATGTCAGTCATGGGTGGTTTGTTTGACCCTGCCTCAACATGCTGGTCAGGGCGAAGGTGAGTGCTGCATTGCCACCAGCAAATGGCCTTCAGCACCAGGCCATAGGCGTAGCAATCAGAAAACAGTTGTGATCTTCTGTTTGAATCTTGACTTTAAGATCATGAACTTTGAATATTAGTTTGTTTCCCGTATTTTATTCAAATATTTACACAACTCGTGTGTATTTCAAATCACTGCTATCCAGTCGCATGGAGTATCTGGTAGAGCATTCTAAGCATTGGTGAAATGCTGCGTTGAACATTTCAAGAATAAAATGCCAGCCTTAGTACTTTTTGCGTGTGTTAAACCTTGATATTGTTTCATGTCAGTGTACATGGTTTGACTGCCTTAAACTATTTATTCAAGACAATCAAATTTAGATCCAGGTGGTTTAATGTAGTGTTGTAAAGTCTAATGCAGTGTTGTAATACAGCACCTGTTTACAGCCCTGGGCCAGTGGTGCAAATTCCACATTCATGTGGCAAGGGTGGGTCCATCCAAAGGACAACTACTAACGCTATTGACTAACGCTAACTGGTACTGGTTTTATTGACTACACAGGGACCATGGGCTGAGTCAACCCTCACCGAGGATTTGAACTCATATCCTTCTCATGTTTAGCCACTCACTCTACTGCCGAAATACTTGGCCGGATAAAATATAGTAAAACGGAAATAAGCCGAGATACACCAATGTTTACAGACAATAGTCGATGCTGTAAAACTACTCACAAATCTCACCTTTCTTCCCTTCCTCTACATGTTGTCTAAAACAAAGTTTACAAAAAGCTCCAAATAACATATTGTATACAAAATACACCTTTTAGATATGTAAATAACAAAAAACTGAAAACTAAGGGCCTATGTTGGCAATGGCTCAGTAACTACAAACACCCCGCACATTTTTCATTAACACTGACTTATGGCAGAAATACACATATAAATATAAAATAAGCTAACGCTTCAGGCAATGGAATAACACTGGCATGAAAGGGATTATGTTAATACCAAATCCACTTCACAGGGGGAAGGCATTACTTAAGAATTTACAGTCATAGCCCTCCTTCAGAGTGGAAGGCAGAGAGAATGAGGCCTTTAGTTGTGGGTCTCAATTCACACTACGGTGCCCTGAAAATATTGAAGTGTACAAATTAACGGCATTGATGTGAGATATGCAGTGTGCCCATAGCGTTCGCTTATTTTATAAATATATATGCGAATGTTATAATAAATACGATTATTAATCATAATAATTTATAGCGCTCTTGTCAATACACTGCTGGAGGCTTCCCCAAACTGATGTTGGTCATGGGAGATTGTTTACCATACTTCACCGTGCGAGTTGGCGAAGGAGGGGGCCTAAGACCTATTTCAGACGTCATTCACCTCTCATGTTAGCCAATATATAAATAAAACTTGCGTCACGGGGGTTCGTGGTGTTGTGTGCCAACCACTGCACCACTCCACCACGAATGTTAAACAATTTGCGTTTTAGGTCAGTGTTGACGACGCGCAGAATTATTTATACAATGATTGGGCATATTTTTCTTTCTCCAAAATAAATCAGAAAACAATGGAGCCATTCAGCATTGCTTGGTACAAATGTATCTCTCTATCATTGGGATCTTTGCTAAGTTGCTTCAGTTTTGGCTGTTGGGAGACTGGCTTCCTTGTAAGAATCCGAACCATGGTCTAGTGTGACTTGCAGCGACCCACAGTTTGTTTTACGACAATGGTTGTGAAGACATTTATTTTTGCTTTCTTAAACTGATCGTCATGATAATTATCAGAAGTGGTAGTAGTCGGTTAATAGAGCGAACAAAACTACAAGCGTGATAGAACAAATAAAAATGCACGTTAGATGGCAAAAACAAGATAAAAAATAAGAAAATCGATTATTAAATTGAACCGTGACACCTAAATCATGACAATTCACTAAGTTGCTAGTGGGGTGTAACCTACCATACAGCCGCAAATTACTTAATGTATGCAGACCTCCCTTCTGTGTCTCTACTAACAAATAATAAATGGGCTTCTTGTTTTATCCATCACCGTACTTACTTTCCAGGCCAATATTTGCCAGCAGCCTTGGTTGAACTCAACGAACTGTACAGGTTTCAACCTTCCAGGTCTGTTCCACAATAATGTATGAGTTTTGCTACGTGATTTTGAGACTGGGGATTGTTGGGTGTGAGGTTATGGTTGCGATGTGGCTACATTCATGGGGAGGGCAGTGTGGTTTATCGTGTAATTAATAAATTCTCAAGTTTTCTGATATTGCTTAGAATGGGATGTAAAAAACAAGCGCGGGTACCACAAAAGGAGATTTAATTAAACTTTTGCTCGCTCTTGAAGCGAGCGAATCATGCAGACGCTCGAGGGAGAACCACAGACAAGCGGGAAAGGCAGCCAGGCGGTGAGCTGCTGCAAATAATTGCCCGAGCTCTGCGGTCCTTTATATAGTACAGTTTTTTTTCCGGCCAATTAATGAGTGTTGACATGCGGGAGGATATCAGAGCACCCAGAGAAAATCGACACGTGGGAGGATGCAACAATGTACCCCATACAGATGGAATAGGTGGAGATTTGTCCACATTTTGTTGCTACCACCATATACCCTGATCTGCCAGGGTATATGGCACCTCGACGCTCACGGGAAGGGAGTTTCGCAACCAGTGTGTGATGCAACAGCTCTCGCCTCCACAGTGCTGGATTTACAGGCCAAGTGCAATGCCACCGCCGCCCGGCTGATACGGAGGTTCCGCTTGATATAAACATACCATGTGTATATAATGCGCGATGAAGGAGAAAGGAACACGTGTAAATGATATGCGACTGAATAGAGAAGTATCTGCCTGAGGTATAAAATAAAATAGAAAACAACAACTTTTCTAATCCCGTAAGGTGACTTTTACAAAAAATATCTAAGACACTGAAATGACTTTAAAAAAAAAATGGCAGTGACGTATGCAGACTCATCGGCAAGTTCAAATGTTAATCCAAATATGTTTTGCTCCTCGGGCGATGTAATACAAAATCTAGGTATTTACTGAGCGAATCATGTTCCTTTTTAAACCAGTGATATTGTACACGGTTGCACCCTCTCATAAGCCGCCCTCCTTGTTTAACAGTGACCAACGGTGTTATTAATGGAGGTGTGTCTGTGTCAATTATTGAGGTCCCGTCACTACCCCAATATTTCTGGCAATTTGAGTGTTGTGAGGCCTCGAGTCAGGCTAGTTGTAAATGGTCAAAAGAAAAATCATGCACTGAATTGGAAATGCCTCTTCGACTGACGACGAGCGGCACTACAAGGATTTCTCCACCAGATGGTACCACCAATCTGTTCTCTGCGCAAGATCCACGATCGTTTGCAACGAATTTTAAAATCTTGGTGTTTTTTTTTTTTACACGTGGAATTCATCCGAGTATAATGGCTTTCTGCCGCCGATGGCCTCTTTCCCCTCCGTTCTGATTGCATCTTTTCAGAGCTGTCCACCTCTAATGCCACTGCACATTTTCAGTTGAAGTGCCACTCCGTGTGACGAAGATTGGCCAAGGCCGGCCCTTGGGGGGCCAAGTGTGGACAATTGGGGCGCATTGGTTTAAAATGTGCATTCCGCACTGAAATGATCAATTATTTAGCTGCAATGGTTCTGGCGGAATTTGCACACACGTAAAAAAAGTGCTTGTGCACATGCACACAATTTGCTCTCCATCTAAATAGGTACTGTTTTGTGGGCATCTATTGCAACGAAACACAAAAACACACACCTCTGCAACTTTTCTAGTGGACTCTTAAAATTGAAATCTCACAAAAGCACAGTTTGTGTTATTGACTTCTTGTCCTTCCCGCCCTCGCCCCCCCCGTCCAATGTTGAGGACGGAAGTAAATTTGACCTCTGCGACCTCACCCTGCTCTCCTCCAAGCTGTCGAAGGGTCCGGGAGGCTCATCGAGGCACAGGAACTCTCGCACTGCAGCGCTGCGCTCGCACAGGGAAACAAGAACAGCGCTGGAAATACTAGGAACCGTTAAAAAGCCGGCGGATCTTCAGACACCGACCACCATCACCCCCCCCCCCCTCGGAGAACTGAGGATTTAGAAGCCACCGCAATGGTGCACAGCTGGCTCGTTATTTTATTTATACATCTAGCATTTTTTTACATGTTGTTAATAATGTATGCGCTGGTTTGAAGACGGGATTGGTTAATTATTTTTTTCACATGCTGTGCACATCAAGTGTGACACAGACAAAGATGCCCACCCTAAACTTATGACCCAACGCGCTGATGAAAGCACCCCGTGCTTAAATGGGCGACCCATTTAAGTGCAAATGGCTCGCACACAATGGCAAATGTGACCTGGCACGGTGATAAAAATGTTCCCGCTGAAATATTTAGCGCGGGGTGTGTTCAAAACACGTCACGCTGTGCATAACCAGCACGCACCAAAGTAAATTCGAGCCGTCTCATTTACAAAGATTCGTTTCATCACCCATCTTAACAAGTCTGTTTTGTGTTTATTTTGTTTTTAGCTGTACCCATTATTTTTTATTGCCAACATTTACTTATAATTAACTGCAGCACGATCAATTGCTGTGCCTTTGCAACTGGCTGCAGATAACGTAGTCTGCGCTGCACATCACGGATTAAACATCGCTGAGCACGTACGGACGCGCACACACACACACACACAATCGCATGCACACTCTGACCTGGGTCCCATGGCCATAGGAAGTGCGCTCAATTCCACCGAGATGCAGAGTCTGACTCGGTGTCAGCGGTGTCAAGGCACATCATTTTTCCCGACAGCTTGCTTATAAAACCCAATGTGCCCAGTACGACCGACTAACAGGACCTCGCTGTGTCCTGGGGCGCAATCACAACGCTCGCAAACACGTCCTCCTAGCGGGAAAGGAAACTGTCGCTGCTCCGTGTGCGTCGGTGCCAGGTGCACAGCCTCCACGGGTGTCGTGGGTATCTCGACAACGAACAGCATGTTTAGATATGGCTAAGGGACAGCCCGCAAGATACAGAGAACAAACATTCTAGTATCCTCGTGTTATTCCGGCACTGCCTAAGTCGCACTAGATCAGCGTTCTTCACTGCAGGGCCCACTGGCCACTGGCGGCCCCTGATGTCCGGCTCCCCGACGACACACCCCCGCATCATCATCGTGCTGCTGTCAAACCCCAATGGATTCAAATGTGTGGCGGCCCTCATACACACTGATGATGTCTTATCAGCGGAAGTCCCCCCCCCCCCCCCTCTCTGAAAATTAGTGAAGAACACTGCTGTAGCTAACACAATATCTACTGGACATCTGCGAAAAAAAGCTTCATAGCTCATCGGATTCCTCCAATATAAATAAATATTCTGATTACGTATAGCTTTTCGGTAGATCTGTTAACCATCGGGCATTGCTGCATTCCGCTGTCCGGTGTGCTCGCTGCTTACATCCAGCACTGGCACTGGTGCCACGAGTGATCCCCCCCCACCCCCTCCTCCTCCTCCGCTCCCCTCTGAAAATGAGTGAAGAACACCGGGCTTGAACCATGGTTAGGATTCCCGAACCCTTCAAGGCGGCCGATCATGCCGACGACGGAACCTTTTAATGACTCGCACGGCAGGCCCAGGACTGAGTCGCTAGCCAGTAATTGTGTGGATTTTACAAAAATTGTAGTGCAGTGGGGGGGGGGAGGCCAAACTTTGCGGATCTTTTCTGCAATCTAATCAGTGACCACAGTGAGCCATTAGGAAGTGGAACAGCCCCAACTTCCAACGTGTGTCCTGCACCTCCGCATTGAGATCTGTAGGCTAAAGCCAGCTCATTCACCTTCCATCGAGATCTGTTCGCTCAAGTGATGGCATTCAATCCCACAGAGATTTGTAGACTAAAGTGACATCCGTTCACTGTCACCGGTGATATGTAAGCTAAAAGCAACCTCATTCACTGTCAAAGAGATCTGCTAGCGAGCGTGACCTCCATTCGCTCCCGCAGAGGTCTGCTCGCTAAAGTGATGGCATTCAATCGCACAGAGATCTGTAGGCTAAAGTGACATCCATTCACTCTAATATAGATCTGTTATCTCATGCGACCTCATTCACTACCATGCAGAACTGTTAGCTACAGTGCTCAACCCGAGCTACCAATGATTGGATACTGTGCCTTTGTCCTTTCCACCTTTTGGCGTTGTTCTCTGGTCTAGCACTGGTGGTGAAACAAGGCCATGAAGGGGCCGTCTCCGATGTAGCCCAATCAGTTTCGATGACAACGCGTGCATTATCAAAGTGTGTGTGTTTGCATGTCTTACCACAAGCGTGATGTGGTTAATGCATACTGGCGCTTGAACATCTTAATGCCTCCTGTAGTATTGACGGAAAGGGTAGAGCCTTTTTCTTACTACTCTACGAGTGAATGAAATCTCCTAAGATAACCGGTTCATGTTACGCCGATAATCACGCTTGGCTACGTACGGTGCGAAAGCAGTTCAACACGCATACATGGTGAACCGTCAGCATGAGCAAAATACTGGGGTTCACCGTGCGCGTCTGCGGTGTGCAGAATAACCGCCGCGACCACGTCGCTCGTGAGCAGGCCGCCCTGCAGGCCGGGCCGCAGGCTCTCACCTGCGCGCCGCCCGGCTGTTGAGCGCGACGCTGTACAGGTACGCCTGCAGGCCTCGCTGCCGCACCTCCAGGAAGCCGGGGTGGAAGTTGTCGCGGAGCCAGCGTTTGGGCGGCAGCTCCATGCGCAGCTCGGGGAAGCTCTCACGCAGCTGTCGACACCACGGTTGACGTCGTCCGGGTGTTTTTGGGCCAAAACCGCGAAGCGCGGAGGTCAGATCGGAAATAGAAAAGCGAGCGTCTGTCAGCCCACGCGCCACGCCTCGTCGTTTCCGCTCCCCGCAAGCACCCCACCCCCCCGCAACTCAAATCGCGCTCCGTCGCGCGTCGCTTGCCAACAACAACAAACATCGGATCGCCACGTTCCCCACAACGATGCACCTGTTAATATTCATCTCCACGCGGTCGCGAGTTAAAGCGCCGCTTGTTAACCGTCCTTGGGTACGCGTGCCGTTCGATTCGATGAACGAAATGTGATGATGAAGAGACTGAGAACGGTCATGCATATGCACGGCTTACGTAACGCTTTCCAACTTGGTGTTTATCTTAGGGGGGGTATTTAATTAGCCGTGCAGATTCCGACTGGCAGCCGTCAGGGCACGACGTGTTTTCCATACTTGTAAACAGTCCTCTGTGCCTTGGGTTGTGTCTCTAAAGTTTTTGAGATCCTTTGATCGATGTGGCCAGTTTTGAAATTGGGTCAGTCACGAATAGCAATTCAATATGAAACTACAACTTAATTCATATTGGATCACCTACATGAGAGTTGCAGTGACACTCTCACCACATTACCGATGGACGGGGGGAAGGGTTGACCAGATAAACAACCTTAGTTTGAAAATGGTTAAGGGTGAAAAATCCAAAGCAGCGTACGAAGGCGGTTTGCTTGCGTTCTGTTTTAATAAAGCACAAATAAGGCAAAAATTATTAATACAATTTTAGCTTGTCTATGTCCCAATAGGATTCAGAATGCCTGGAATTGGACATTTTCAGATTTAATATGAAATTTAAATGTAAATTATAAGGAATCAGTCAGGGTTTTATTAGTTTTTATAATTTAATTTTTTTAAAAGAATATAGATGGTAAGGGGCACTCAAGGCAAGAGATGGAATGAAATTACGAGCAATATATTTTTAAAATGTGGAGAGGTTAAAAGGCTTATGATGAATTTTGACTGAAACAATGTTCCTTTTCTAATAGATGCTACATAATTTAATTGCAATGTCCCAGTGCTAATATCACATTACTATTTAATGATGAACCGTTTGAGAAATGTTTTCAAACAGCAGAGGGAGTGCGTGCGAGAGTGTGCGTTGTTCTGGAATTTGTACAGAGCGACTTCAATGTTTGGTCAGATTCACAGATTCAGACGTTTGCCGAAAAGGCCGAAAAGGCCGAAAAACATCGCCTCGGCAATTTACCCGATCGTTGGCGACAGGGGCGATGGCACATTTTCGCTAAAAGTCGGACGAACGGGAACATTCGCAAACACGCAAATTGGGCCGCTTGTCATTTGATGGTGCCGATCAAAGCGCCACCACATGAACACTGATAAGCATAAAAATAGACAATCAAAAAGACAATTGCATGCACGGTTGGCTACGTACAGTGTGAAAGAAGTTATACATACGTAGATACATCATAAATGTGATTTATGAAAGGTGAAGGATGAAGGTGCAGTGCGGTAACTGATTACTCACATCCCCTACCTAGTTGGAAGCTACTCCACTGGAGGGACATCTGGAGAACATCCCCAAAAGGGTGTGTTTTTGGCCTACTCTTTTCTTATAATTTACCCCCACACCAAATACAACCAGGTGATTTACAAACGTGCGATGTACACTGTTATACTGCTGTGTGTACATGAACAACAATCACTTACGAACACATCTCATTTTGTGACTGATAACAATTTTTTTTTTACACAAACCATCTGTTATTGGAGACAATTTTGTCGAGCCATTTTAGAAATCACAAAATTGGATCTAATAAGGTTGAAAATCACGCGAAATATGATATTTATTGTGCTGTTAAATAATAATCTTTCACTCTGCTGAATAATGACAATCGCTTGTTTGCTACGAACGTAATTTCTGAATGACCAGAAGGATCACATCGGTCGTCCACTTTAGAAGAATTGTAAGCGGCAAATAAGTAAATAAACAGCACTTCAGCGCAGAAGATAATGGAGGCCGACCAAGAAAAAGCGAAACATGGCACTGCACGTGTGCAGCGGTCGTGTAGCGGTGTGCACACTGCGCGTTGAGCATCACACCGCACTGATATCGGAAACGAGTCCTTAGGTACTCCTCATTACAGACTCGCGCTGACCAGCGTAGAGAAGTATGGTCACCAAACCCCCGTGACCGAAAAGACGTGAGGTCTTCATCCAGCAGTGCATTGACAAAAGGGCTGTGCATTATATTTCACGGGGCACGTGTACACATGGCTTAGCTCTTTGGATCTATTGCCATGTCAGATGTAAGGAGCGAGATGCATAATGCCCCAGAGATTTGAATGCCAGAGATGACACAAAATAATCGACAGAGTGATGTTCGCAGGTGAATTGAGTTTGACGGTCACAACCCATGCAGATACGCCGACAAATGGAAACAGATTTTAAACAATATTGAAAAACACACTCCCCCTTCCAGGCCATGATTTGAATACATTTCTCAGACTGGCATTTGGGTTAGGAGATGAGATGCGTTCAAGGGGGGGGGGGGGGGGGGGGGGGGGGGGGGGGGACTGGTAATGTCGACACGGAAAGTGATTTTTCCAGTTGTGTCCCAATTGGCAGGCACAGAACCGAGAGCACACAGTGTGCAATTTACATTGGCCAGGATGATCAATGAACATTCCTGATATGCTCCACATGATACACCTATTGGTTATCCAGCTATATTGTATACAAAGGCATTATGCATTGCGGAGCAATATGGGTGAAAACCTACATAAGCAAAGCTCCCATTCTATATCTCCACATAAGAATAGCCCACGGGCCTACTTGGATTCCAGACTAGTATTATTCAGCAGTATTTGTTTCAGCAAGAAAACTCTGGAACTGGTTTCACACTTTTGGGTCCGAGTCTAAACAATGGGGGCCACGAGGAGATAACGCAGCACTACCCTGTCCAGCTATTGCCTCTGTTAAGTAATATCAGAGAGTGTAATAATAGGGTTTTTCCCCTTTTTTCTGGCAACAAAACTGAAACCTTTTTACAAGGATTCATGTCTGCATTAACCACAATACCTGCAGTCAAAATGCAAATAAAAAACATACTATGATAATATATGCATTGTCCTTGAAACGGATTGGTCCACACCAAGGGACGGCTTTCTTTTGAGCCTCGCCCTTTTGGCGTCATCTGGTCGAGCACCAATTGGGTTGAGGCTCAAAAGAAAGCCGTCCCTTGGTGTGGACCAATCAGTTTCAAGGACAATGTAGATATTATCATAGTATTTTTTTGTTTGCATTTTGACTGCAGGTATTGTGGTTAATGCAGACATGAATCCTCGTAAAAAGGTTTCAGTTTTGTTGCCAGAAAAAAGGGGAAAAACCCTATTATAAAATTTTGGTACTGGCAAAGGAGGTCTAATGATCAGAGAGTGTTTCAACAACAGGAGATACTCGTCATCTGTAAGCTGTCGGTGCGAATTTGATTTAAAAAAATAATTGCCTAGAGAATGGGCATGGTAATCTGATTACCACGTGCAATTTGTGTCTCTCCAGTTTTGCTAAGTGCCATACACATCGCCATAACCAAGTACAGCGACGCCCTTGCACGTGTGCATATGAGAATGGCATCGAATAAGCGATGCACATGAACCAAACACTCACAACTCACCTGACTCTCACTGGACACTGGCCACACACCTTACGCCATTGACCTTACGCCATTGACCTGGGACCACTCACCACTCGCTTAACTGTCACTAAACACCGACACTTATCACTCGCCACGCACCACACACTCGGTGGCAATGCAACAATGCCGGGGAGTGTCAAATCGGCCGTTTATATTTCCCACTTTACATAAGCAACTGCCCAATCGACATATAACATTCCCCACTTCATCTAAGTCCCTTTACGCTCTGCCCACCTCTCGCACCTGAGCTGAGTGTGCCGGCTGGTCCAGCGTTTGGCACGACAATAGAATCCAGCCAATCGCGCAGCGCAGGTCACGTGACGTTGAGTGACGCCGGACAACACCAGAAACTGTTCTGATTGGTTGCTGACGACGAACATTCACCGGATGGACGGCATCGTTCGAGCGCACGCCGGGAACGGTCGAGGTTCAAAACGAGCGGATGAAGCGCCTACCTTGTCGTGCAGTCGGACGAAGTCTGCGTACCTCCGGAAGACGATCCAGCTGTCATGCGCGTTCCGCTCCACGCGAACCTTGTACACCTGCACGCCACGTGACAGGACAGGGTTGTCTGCAAATGGGCCTTACCCGGTAAAATAAAAAAAAAATTAGTTTAGTTTTAGTTTCAATGGGCGACCGTGGCTTCTGTTGTGCGGCAGTTGCGCGGCCTTGGAACGAGCGACCTGCCCCCAGCGTCACTCGGTGGGCGAGGGCGGCGTTCACACCCCTGCCTCTGCAAGCGCTTTATTCTCTCCCGCTGTCGAGTCTCTGAATTAGCGTCTATTTATTTGCCGCCTTAGTTTTGCTCCCCCTTGGCCTGCGATGTATTTTTATTTCCGTGACGTACAGCGCCTTGAGTAATGAGCAGAAAGGGCACATTTTAAAAATGTCATTTATTATGATTACGAATATTACTCTCGGTCACGTTACATTCCGTGGTGGCCACTCCATCTAACTAGGAGTGACTTATCCAAGTCACTAATCGTTACGCTTCCTTTCAGAAAGCTGTTAACCAGCCCGTGCTTCGCCACTGCTATGGGGTTTCAATCAACTCTGGCCGTGAAGGAAAAGTTACTTTTGTCATTTGAAGCAGTAGACGACTCAACCAAATGCTGCGTAAGGTGCACGCGCACACAGCCACTCTACGACTATTACTATTGCATGTGATGCATTGCAAGGGCAAGCAAAGTTACACGCCTGGTTTCATCTGGCCCAAGAGTCAAATGTGCAGCTGCAGTCAGCATTTACATCACGCCCTGATTGATACAATTTAATATATATTTTTTATGATAATTATAAAACGAACCACAGCGTGCCACGTCGTCTATGCAGTCAGCGTATGTGCAGTCGATCGGCGGGCATGTGTCGCAAATTCGGTCACAGATTGATTTTAACAAGCGACAATTTGGATCTCGTCGCAACTGCATTTCAGAGACACCTGCAAGAATGAACTCTGTTACCCGACTTGTTTTGATGCCATCTAGTTTTGCGCTTTTCCCATTTTCTCAATCTCACTCGTAGTTTGTGTTCGACTGGTTATCCGTACGAGCTCCGTACATTTTGCGCCAACATTTAACCGATCAGTTCTCACGCGCACGATTCGATGGGTGTGCCACGAGCATCAGACTCGACTTGAATCAATCATTCAATCTGTCATTACACATGCCCATCGACGAGCACATCGTCATCATCATCATCATCATTCTCCATAGTTAATCCTCTGCTGGATGAAGGCCTCCCCAACACGTTACCCATCTCCCATGACTCTGCAATGGAATAATCCACCTAGCAGCTGCACATTCGCTGATTTCGTTGCTCCATCTCTGCAGCAGACCTCCGAATCAGAGGCGTTTCATTCTTTGGCTACCGCTCCATCGCTTTTTGTTTTGACCATCGGCCGTCATCCTCTCGAGTAACGCACCGTACCCAAGCCCACTTTGTTTTCCTCAGCAGTCTGAAGGAGGTCATTTTACCTGCATGTCTTCTCAAATCCATACCTTCCTCTTTCTGTTTCTCGACATAATTTTACAGGGTGCATATCTCCTTCATACACTCCGTGATTGGTTCCACTTTTTCAAAAAAAGCTGTTCATGATCACGTTGATTGTGAACCATGTCTCGCAGAGGGCAGTACGCGATGATTAAAACCTTTCTTCTCCAGGCACATTTGTAATTTACTTTTCATTATTAAAGTCCACTCTTCAAAATCACTCCAGCCTTTCTCTCGTCCGCCTCGTTATTTAATCATTTTACTTGTGCTCTGCTTTCAACAGCCATCCTAGGCACACACACACACTCTCTCAAGCGATGTGCTACAACGAATTAGAATACAGGCTACGGACTCACCGCTAATTTCCAATTAATTCCTACCTCATTATCAATTCCGAGCGCCGCGGCGCGGCGTTCGCACTTAACGCCGTCCTCGACTTGACAACGAGCTTTTGCCGCAGCATAAGCAGCGGATCGCGGCCGTGCAGTGGCGGTGATGGAGCGCGTGTGCGCTGGGCGCGTGTGCGAGATCACATGGCCGGTTGCTTTGCGGTGGGCGGAGAGCCGGAGGATCGTGTCAAGATAAGCAGCGACGGTGGTGGTGGGGGCGGAGGATGAAGGCAGCAGTTAAGGGAAAAAATGAGGATGAAAAAAAATTCCATTACCATAAACTGCCCGCTCCGCCACCCCGCACTGCTGAATCTTTTAGAGGGAAGACGATGACCCGGATGCCTCGTGACAACAGTTTAATCTACAAAATGTGCTTATTGTGTTTTATATATATAAGTACATACTCACGTGAATAAACAAACAAACGAATGAATGCACACACAATCCTGGGCTTTGGGTGTAGCAAGGAGCTCGGTGATATCACAGTCACAATAAAAATGTTTAAATAGTAAATAGGCGTCTCTGGCTATTATCTAGACGATGTCTTCCATAAACATCCGTGCGCTCCCCCGCAACCTCCCCTCCAACCTCCGTGTTTCTCTCTCCCCCCCCCCCTGTGCCATTGAATTCACCCAATGTAATTAAAAAGCACACGGGCAAGCAAACGTAATTTGCAAAAATAAAAATAAATCCCAACTCCGTTGGAAGACAGGGATTACTAAAGATTGGGACTGCTGCAAGAGCCAGGCGAGGGGGCGGGGGGTTGGAAACAAAAACCCCAACATCCACGACGCTTTCGATAAACCCCTGGCACCCTTGCCCAACAACAACAACAACAAAAACATGGCATTTTTACGACAAATAACCGATCTGTCGGAGCGGGGACAATGTATTGTTGTTGTTGTTGGCGATGCCGGGCACCACCGTCACAGGTGCCGGGGGAGGACGGAGCCACGGCCGGGGAGGGAGTCGCGTCGTTGCCCCGCGGTCCGTTTGATCGCGTGCGGCGCACACAGAGGGCCCTCGGTTAGACTTCACAAAAGCGGACAAAGAAGTACGGGGATCCATCGGGCCGTTTGATGTGTGGGCTTTCCCAGAGGGCCGTCTGCCGTGCCCGTTGAATCAGAGTCTTAGATCAGCTCTTGTGCGAGCGAGCGCGTCCGTGTGGGCGGGCGTTCGCGATCGCGCGCGTGCGCTCCCGCATCCGTTTAAGCGTATCGTACACGCGGCACGCCCGCGGTTGATCTCTGTCTCGTGATCGGCACTCCTGTGAGCGACAAGAGCGGTGTTTCGCCATCGCGCAACTCCAAGCAACCAGTCTTTTTTTTTATCGACTTAAGGAAAGGAAAAAAAACACCCACCCGTTCACCTCGAGACATCACAATGCAAGCGGGGAGCCACACGACTCTCAGCTGTGCGTGAAACATGTCCCTTTTCCCTTCGCTCAAAAAAAACTCGCCCGCCGTTTGAAGCTCTGAACTGACGAGGCCGCACGTAGGTCACCTCCAGAGTTGCCCACCTCTGCCCTCTCTCGCTCCGCAAATCGCACATCCGCTCTATTTGCCTTTGGGTTATAATTATACCCCCCGCGTGGAAAGGAGCGCACCCGGCGCATTACAAAGCGAGCGTTGTTGGGTTTTTTTGGGCGCTTTCAGATAATCCCACGGGGTTCTGGTGCAGTTTTAGAGCCTCGGCTTACAATTATTGGCACTCCCCAATAACGAATGCTACTTCCCACCTCTCATTGTCGTGTAAACAAATTGGGGGCACTAGCCCTTCGCGATGGTGCGCGTGCTCACGGCACTGTCTGCACCACGGAGCTGGTCCCGGCGGCGTCGGCTTAAACTGTCCCCGATCGCGTACGCACGTTCACGCCGCTGGTTCCCCGCACGCCGCTGGTTCCGCATGATGCGCGTTCGTAAATCTTTTACGAAACCGCAAAATATTCCGAGCCTGCTAGTTCGTCTCATTCAAGTGACCTCGGGAGAGCGGATCTGAAAAGGTCATCGAGTTTGTGCATTTTCACAACAAAATTCCTCCCCGCTTTTTCATAACCGAATATTTTCCACCTGCCCACCCCCCCCCATCCTTACATAGGGTTCCATAAACTGACACACTGACCCAAAGACTCACACGCACTTACGTGATCCACATACTGACATACAGATTCAGCGGAGGCTTACATAGGGACCCACGGACCCATGTCTTCCGCTTAGGCTGAAGCCACATCACTGCAATGGGGCCGGCTCCCCGGAACGTCCTTCTCCACGCACTGCCATTCCGCGCCTCTCCCTCCGCCGTCGCATCCGCTGAGCCCTAGTGTCTCATTCCGCCGTGTCCCTTGCACGTCACCCTCGGGCCTCCCTCTCCTCCTCCTGCCCCATGCCAACGCAAACGCGCCACTCGTGCGCGTCGCTGGGGAGAAGCCGCGTGAGACATTTTCTGCATCGCGACGGTGCGCCGTAATATAATTCGTGGCGCAGAATGCGACGCATTCCCAATTATATATTTTTTCCAAGCACCTTGGCGGGGATCTTTTGTTCACGTTACGCTCCCAGGTAGCATTACGGGGTGTCATTTCGCGAGGGCTTTGACAGACGGTTCCACTGCGCCGCTGTTACAAGCCGGCTCTCGACATTCAAAAGCCACCGAGCCACTTTGATTCTCGAGTGGGGTGGGAGGGGGGGGGGCGGGGGCTTCAAGGGCCTCAACGTGAGGTTTATAATGAAAACGAGACATTTACAAGTCCATTATAACACATTTATCAACGTCCAAGGGGGTAACCTCGAACTAATTTATATATTTTATCAACGTGCAAAGCGGGATGTTACAACGAGCATCAGTCGCCCGGCCTCCTGATGGGTCAGTTTCCCGCGCGTCGCGTGACCAAAGATTTCTTTAGTGTCGCGTTCGAACCGCGTTGCTCTGGCTCACACGTGGAGTCCAACCCTGTTGGGCATGACCTTGAATAAAGAGGGGCGGGGTAGAGGGGAGGGGGGCATACGAGAACTCGGGGGGGGAGGGGGGGGTCACGCCTGAGTCGATGCTATACAAACAAATGTAGAACATTAAATGTAATGAGTAACGATACGATCTGCGTGTGTCGATGGTGTGTTTCCCCCCGAGCTCTCACACGCCGCGTGCACCCGCGTGCATGTAAGAGG